ACAGACGACCCCGTAACAATATGCGTTTTGTACTGCTGTTACACAGCACAAAACGCATAAAAATGAATAGATTCCGTTAATAGGAGCTATATCGAAAAGCTGTTGACGAAAAATTCTTAGTTAATTCTTGTTTTATTATCTTCCCCCTTCTCCCCACTTATCAACATTTTATAAATTTCTTTTTTAAAAAACTTCTATAAAAACTGTTAATGAACCCGTCTCCTTCTCTGCTAGCGATAAAGCGACTGGAGGGCACACTGAACAATTGTGGATGAAACTCGAATTAGATGCGCTGAAGAATGCTCTGTTCAATTACAGACGCTAATACATCCAAGTAAAATCAAAAATTAGAAATGCATTTGGTTTTCAAGTCCTAGATATTCAACTGTTTGAAATACATTCTTAAAGAAGCAGGATGGCGCATACTTATCCCTTGCAACCAAGTCAAGAGCGAAATGTCCGAGTTAATTGTACAATCTTTCGTGGCACATCACTATCACTGCTCCAGCATTCGTACGAATCAAATGTTCCTCGTGTTTTCAGATACTCCAGAAATGAAGGAATATTACCACCAACACCGAAATAATACAGCTTAGCAGCTAATAGTCTGAAAAATATGAATTAACAAAAAATCGGAACTAGAAAAAAGTCAAAAAAATAAATAAAATCCGTAGTATGCTACTCACACACATTATACTCTATATTTTTCAGCGCTGCTTCTCTGCGTAATGCGCACTTTTTTAATTTTTTAACAATTCTTAATTCCCTTTTCGTGTTCGTTTTTTTAACCTGGTAATATATCAGTTCCTTTACATTCGTTGTTTAGGCGTTATACTTGATTACATTCAAGCATCTCGTGAATACTATAAGGTATTAAAAAAGAAGCATAGTAAAAATATTGAAAAACTAACACTAATCCATCCGGAATAAGGAGCGCATCGATAACATCATGTAGAGATTCATAATTCTTTTCATTGTAGATCGTTTCGGAAGTTAAAATAACATCAAACCTACAACATTTCCCGGTACTACCTACAAAATACTAATTCCTTATGACCGGAAAAAGAAAAAATACTCTCGAAAAATCGCAACAAGATGTCACTTCTCCAGAAATTTGCTTGAACTTCCGGAACTCACACAAGCAAATTTTTTGGGAGTCTTTTTGATAACCTCAAGCTGACTTTGCTACTGACATATCAAATTCGAAAACTGAAAATCTATTTTCCCAAGGATAAATCGTTGCAGTGTGTGTGGGATCGAGAAATCCTGCATATCTTTAAGTTATCAAGCAAAACTCCTACTCGCTCTCTAAGAGGGAGATGGGACGACGGAGGGGAGGAAGACGGGGGGAGGGGGAGAAGCACGTCGGAAATAGCCCAAGCGGTAGTAAATGTTAACATAAACCATTCGCTAGCAGTGCTGTCGATGGCTCTGTCTTTGAAGGTCAGCTTTCATGCAAGCAGTGGGTTTGATTCTCTGGCATATGCCGCCAGTACCAATTTATCAATGAAATGAATTAACGAATTGTATTACGAATGGTTTCCCCACCAATCGAGTCAAATGCTCGAACTATTGCACAACAACAGCACTAATTTACACTGCGCTATAAGCGCAGTGTAAATTAGTTTTTGAAAAATGAATTAGCAGAGGAACCACAGAAATGAATGAAGGAGCAGCAGAGGGGCTGGTTGACTCAGTATAACAGCTCGAGAAATTTGACGTAACTCTGCAAACCAGAGTGGCTGGAGTGCTGAAACTTTTTGAGCGTTACCCAGCCCTCGAGAGCGTTACACTGCTCTTTATTTGCATAAAAAGAACGCATAAGAAGTGGTCTTTGGTCCAACAGAAAACAGTAGTAATAACAAGTATGTGATGTTTTGGAAAGAAGTAGTGTGTTAAACGCTATGCAAGTTACAGCCCTAACGCATCTCCGTGTGATCCTAGGAATTACGATTAGGCAAGAAATCTCTGCGGATTGTGGACGTAGCAAGCTAGTTAAGCAGTTCCATTAGAAAAATAAACAAAGAAAACTACTAGCTTACTTTTGATCAGCAAGTTTATGTTGCAATGTCTTCCAGTCGCAAGCATAAAACTGACAATCCTTGGTGTTTATTTCGTTCACCACAAAATTCTCCTTTGTAAAGCATTCAATCACAGCATCATTCTGGAAATATTCAGCATGCACAATGCACAAGATCCAATCTATCATTAAAATTGCTCAAGATCCAATCTATCGTTTTATAAATCAAAACCTAATATTATTATATAATATGATGATAGCAACAATGACAGTACCAGTAGTAATAATAACGATAGCAATAACAACAATGATAATAATAATAATAATAATAATAATAATAATAATAATAACAATAATAATAACTAATAATACCAAT